CCCCAAAACCCCAAAACCCCAAAACCCCAAAACCCCTAGGTTGGTTATTCGTTTAAAAAGAAAATTCATAAAAAACATTAATAGGAGCAGGACATAATTTACACTTTATATATAAATATTTTAAGTAAATAAATAAATCAAAAGAAATACATTATTATGGACAAACATCAGAATTCCTAATTATTGAAATAAGACAATAGTATGAAGGAGCCATTCCTTGACAAATTAACTTAAGAATCACTCGTTATCAACAAGACAGAGGAGCCTGCACATGGCCATGGTCATGCTGCTCCACCAGCAGTGAGAACAGGTCTTGCTAAGCTTTTCGGAGATAACTACATTACCTTTTCAATACTTACAGCACTTTTCTTTGGAACCTATAACTTTTTGATAGATACAGCAATGCAAGGATAAATGCCAACACTAAGAATAATGTATCTGACTGGTGTCTTCCCAATTATATATTACCTAGCCTACCATATTACCTAGGCAGTCCAACTAAACAAGAAAAAGGGAAAGTTTTGGACCCGTTCAGACTCGGCTTACATTAAAGAAAACGGATCAATTGACTGGTATTTGATAAGATTGGTTTTTGGCAGATTCCTTTGCACTCTAACTCTAGTTGGCTAGGTCTACTATACCTTCTCAAGTTCAATTAAGTCAGGTATTAGTAGCGCTATCATCACATCCTTATATGCAGGAAACGTCTTGACAACATCACTCGCTTTCTACCTGATCTTTGGTGAGAAACTCACCTAGAAGCATTTAGTTGGAATGATTTTCATTGTTATCAGTATCATCATGATTTCTTATGGAAAGGATTCGTAGATAGATTCATCATTGACTAATAAGTATACTCTGAGCGTCTGGGTTCCAATAGGAATGGCATTTTTAGGATGCTTTCTATTTACAACTTAATCATTGATCTCTAGAGCAGTCAGAGCCACTAAAATTAGTTCACTTTAATACACAGCAGATAGTATAGTCCTATCTAGTTTAATAACAACAAGTCTAGCCCTCTTTGAACATTTAGCAGTACAGCCTTATACATTGCAGGAAGCTTTATACGTTTTAAGTGCATCTGCAGTTTGGATTTTAGGAGTGTTATGTCTGAATGGCGCTATCACCTATGGAAAAGCTGGACCAGTTCAAGCCTTGGCACAATTACAATCTCCCTCTCAACTCATTATGGAAATATCTATTTTTACAAGGATCCCTACATTATACGGGGTATCTGGAATGCTTCTTTCGATAATAGGTGCTCTAATCATCATACTAAGCAAAAAGTGAATGAATTTTCTTATAAATAGTAATTCCAGTTTTCGAATTTATTTGAAACTTAGCAATATCTTTCACATTATTTATCCACTTAAGTGGCCAGAATTCTTATCTTTGGGGTTTTGGGGTTTTGGGGTTTTGGGG